CTGTCATCTTTTTCTCTGGTGTTTTCTCCTCCTAAAGCAACACTGTTAGTACCAAAAAAGGTATTTTCTGTCCTTGCTTGATTTTAGTCTCTTAAGCTTATCTATCCTTTGGACAACCAAATGAAAATGGATTTTATATCTAGATGTATTTAATCTGTTGGCATTTTCTGACTCCTTATTTCTCTTAACTTCTAAGCATTTGACTTCCTTTCACCATTTCATCTTGAAAACTTCTCTATTTCTTAATTGGTGTTTATGATTATGCTCTCTCTTGGTTTATCCTCTTAACTTTTTTTTTTGAGCTCAAGTCCTAGATCTCTAAATGCCTACTGGATACTGTATTTTGCCATGTATAATGTGTACTTTCTTGCCCAAATTTGTGAGGGACAAATAAGGATGTGCATTATACATGAGTAGTACTAATTCCATATCTTTATAAATGTTTTTAATTCTTTTATTTACACTTATGAGTTAAAAGTGTACCTCTAGAAATCAGTGATGATATCCATATGCAAAATAATACCCTGGAATACGATAATCACTTTTTGTTGAACTTATGACAAACTTGCAGAGACAGAGAGTTCTTAGCCTTTTATGATGCATAAATATTGTAAATTTGTTGCTGGGACATAAAATTTCTTGTACCTTGTATCTGTTCTTGTTTATCGTAATTGTTACATAAAATTCCTTGTACCATAATATGTTAAAAAATAAATGCTAACATTTCTTTATAATAAAAAAACCAAGTATCTAACTGTAAACAAATAAAAATTTGAATTAAAATACGAAAAGATTTTTTTTTCCCCTGAAAGTTTGGGCCAAAAACGTGGGTGTGCATTATGCACAGGAGCGCATTATACATGGCAAAATACAGTAATTCTGCTTTGCTCACGCATTAGCACATTTTACAATGTATATTCCCTTTCTATCCTTGCAGCTTCCTTGTTTGACTTCTTTTTCCCCCTCTTTTGTTTATATAGTCTTGGTCTTGAAAGCTTAGAATAAATCTTCTTGGGTCTCTTTCTCTCCCTTGCCATTTCTATCCTTCTAAAGTGACTAAAACATTTCACTTGTATGAAAGTGATTTTAACAGTGTTTCAAGCCAGCCTGAAGGAAACGCAAATAATCTGGAACAAACAAAAATACCAGAAAAGATAAGACGTTTGAATAATAAAAACATTTTAAAGGAAATTCTGTCTTGAATCCAGAAAGGGAAAAATGCTAACGATCTTCAGACCAGTCTTAACAATAGTAGGATTCTGTTGTTTGGCAAAGGTCAGTTACTCCTTATCTATCTATCTGCCCTTAGAAAGAGAGAGATCTCATACACCCAGATGTCATGAAGATGAAAAGTGCAGAGGATAACACGCTTTCTTGGCCACATATGTACTTTCTCAAATGGCCCTGTCTTCCTGCCATAGCTTGAGAATGAGAAGCTGAGGTGAAGGTGTAAGCTACATCTGTAGACTGAAATGAAGCTACCGAAAGGGCCTATTGCAAATGTGAACAGTATTTCTAAAATGCTTCATTATTATGCTAGTGATCGGGGAAAAAAATTTCCTTTTAAGTATTTTTTTTCCCTCGGTAAGTGCATACGTTCTGTTAGATTAGATATTTATGGTACCACCACAGATGCATCTGACAGAGCCAATTTTGTGCCCATCAACAAGTTGCCACTACCCTCTTTTCACCTGGGCCATTTCCAGTATTTTCACTAGCCCTCTTATTAAACATTCCGCTTCACTTCTTGCTCCCTTCCAAAACACTCTCCAAATAACATGATCTTTTAAAAACAAATTGGTGAGTGTTACTTCTCCACTTAATCCTCTTCAGTGGTTTTTCAGTGCACTTAAGCTACAACACTTGAATATGGCTTATAAGGCCCTCATAATGTAGCCTGCCTCTTCACTCTCATCTTGTAATCTTTGGGGCTGTTAAGTCAGTTGTAATGGCCTTCTTGAAATTACCACCTTTTTCTCTTTTTTTAACTTCAAGGACCTCACACATGCCACTCCTTTCTAGAATATTCTTTCCTCCACTTTTTATTAGACTAACTCCTCTTCCTTTGATTTTCAGATTATAATTTACTTTCTCGGAGAGGCCTTTCCCAACCTTCTATCTAAAGATACACACACCATTATTTCTCTTCATACATTTACATTGTATTGGTATATGTTTCTGTTTTTGTTTATTTAATGTCTGTCTATCCTATCCAACTCTAAGCTCTTCGAGTCAGGCATCACATCTTTTTGTTTCACCATTGTATACCCATCTTCTGGAACCAGTGCCTAGAAGGTTGTAGGCACTTGAATGAATGATTGATGCTTGAGGTTTCAGATATTATATTAGTCTGGCTTATCATTTCCTAACAGTTAAAAACCTTTTTATAATTTATTTAATAAAACTTTGTTTTATTAAATGTGTTTAATTAAATGAGAATTTTAAGTAGCTTCTAGAATTAGTCATATTTTTAGTGGAGTGAAGATCTAATTTGATGGATATACTCCTTTTTTTTTTTTTTTAAAGATTTTTATTGGGGAATTGGGGGGATGGGAACAGTGCTGGGGAA